GGTTGACAAGCCCTTCTTATTCACCTTTTCTTTTTCAACATGTTTTTTTGTTAGTCCTTTTTCATCTTTGATGATGAGATATACAAATATAGATGTAAAATGTGAGGCATCTGATAAAGAAACACAGTCATGGCTCAACCAGCTCTAATTATAGAGTGATGTATGTTTTGATGAGGGTTCCTGTCTCCAATGGCGGTGTTCATCCACCGGCAGAAGCTTCAAGTGATGGAAATGGTGATGAGACAAGATGAGGTAAAGGAGTTGTGAGTTATATTATATATTTCAGTGTTTCTCTGCCTGAAAATGTTTCATATATTCATGGATTATGCGAGTCTAGAATTTGAAACTTTACTTTGGCTGGCTGATCTGTCTCTTATTTTGTTCGTCTGTTGAAGGTTTTTTCGTTCCCGATTTCTTTTGTTACTTTCAAGTTTCCATGTGAATGATGTTCTGAATATTCTCTTATATATTTTGCTCATGAATGATGCTCTGTTTTTGCCTAGATTGTTGTATATATTCATCTGAAGTAATGGTGTTCAAATCTTCATGGAGATTTAATTTGTATGTTTTTGAATTCTAATTTTGACGATTTCATCTTTCCATCTCCTATCTGGAAAGACTTTTTCTGCTTCTTAATAATTTCTAAATCAATCAAAACAGATCGGGTTTTCTTTCCTTTTTTTTTGTTCCTACTTTCTTATGTTAAAATCAAGTTATTATTTTATATGGATGCACTCACACAAGTCTTATTTATTATATTTATATAAAATTTTAATAACTAATCAATCTATTCATAATTAATAATTGATATTTATCACAATTTTTCAAATAAAAATAATAATTATTTTTAAAAAATATAAATAAATTTTAACTATTAAAAATAAAAAAAAATAATTAATTAAAATTCCATAAGTGGAAATGAATTTCTACACTTTTAAAATTGGAATTTGTCTTCTTCTCAGAGTCTCCTTCAATATGGAATATCATGTTTTATCCCTTTGCGGTTTGTTTAGTCTCTGAGTCTCACACGTAGTGTTGGGTTTATGGGATCTTTTGGTTCAATTGATTGAAATCAATGCTAGATATAAACCTCTCATGTTAAATTTATACCATGCATTATCGTTTCAGTATACTGACTCCAAAGGGTCCTTCGGGAAAATAATGGTTGGAGAATGAATTCAATGAAAACTTCATGGCCTTTGCTGAGAAGGCTGCAGAATTAAATTCAAGGATATCTCATTGATTTAATAGTCTGATGAAAATGTAGGCAAAAACAGTCCACCACAAGAAAGCAGTTTTTATTCATAAAAGAATGTGCCCAAAACACGACCAGTTTCTTCTTTCAGTATGGTAATCCAACTGCTTAGTAAGAGATGTTTACAAATTTAATCATGGTACAAGCAATATTATCCTACATAGACAGCAAGAATTTTAGGAAGAGAGAGTTAGGAAATAGAAGGTTTTGTATAATTTATTATTTAACGTAATATATATATATATATATATTCAGTGGCGGAGCCAGGGGGTGCGGGTGGCGCTCGCTGCCTAAAATTTGAAAATATTGTAAATTAGTATATGAAAAAATTATTTAGTCTTTCTTGAACTTTGAAAATTTTAGTATTTTGCCCCCTTGAAAAAAATTTCTGCCTCCGCCCCTGTATATATTTGATATTCTCACTTTTCAATTAGTCACTAGTATTTATTAATCAATCTTCCTCTGCTACATGGAAAAGCATACTTTGGCGTAGAGATGTCTTGCAGTTGGGTCTGACTCTGAGATGGTGAGATATTAAGCTGTGGCAATTAGGGGATTATACATATTGTTTATTTGTAGGAAGGAATATCTATTTCAACTTTCAATATAACAGTTTGGGTTTGAGGAGACGACTTTAACTTTATTATTAAGATGAGTGATTTTTGTTAGCATAAAGTTTAGTAATAAATGTGATTTTTTAATTCTTAATTTGCATTACTACTAAACTGGCCAGTTGCAACTTGAGAACCCTTTAAATCTTTAATTTAGTTATTATGTGTTGGGTTTCATGTTTTTCTCCAAGTGTTGAAATGACTAAAATAAAAATAAAATTAGAGCAAGAATTAGCCTAGGAAGATGACATTTGCCTTCATATTTTTTCCCCGAATGGGAACATTTAAATGAAAGAAAACAATGAGAAGGGTAACACCCATTAGCTGAAAATGTATTAAATTTTTATAACGAGCACGATTTGAAAGAAATCACATAAACATACATTCAGATTTGAAATCTGATGAGATAACAATTAAGTTGGAAAAATGGTTTGTATTTCGCAGTCTGAACGACCAAAATAACTATCACAAAAGAACTGTGCAATGATGACAAGGATCATACATTCCCAAAAACTCATCTAATCCCAGTAGTCTAGAGTAAAAGAAGGCAGTCTTGGTATTCAAGCACAATAATAATGCCAGCTCAACTTTCATATGGCACCCTCGCAATCAAAGAGAATGAATCAAGCATGTTGGTCGACGGACTTGCAATTGCTTCATCCATACTCAGTAACGGTACCTGCTTCGATCTCTATCCCGGTCCCTCTCCCGTCCATAATCTCTATCTCGACCATAATCATAATCACGATCTCGATCCTTTCCCCTGTCCCTCTCCCTGCTTCGACTCCGGCGCCTTTCTCTATCATCCCGTCCTCTGTTCCTGCTGCTTTCTCTATCATCCCGTTCCCTTCCCCTTTCCCTGCTTTTCTCTATTCCATCTCTGTCAATCACACCTGTTACATAAAAAAAAAAAAAAACAGAAGAAAACATCTTAGCATTGATATCTGGAGGAAAGAAACCAAAGAAATGTTAACAGTACCAAGTTCTTCAACCTCCCATCCAGCACGCCCAGAACCTGCTTTTCCAGCTTCAGCTTGTTGTGTTTTGGCACGAAACTTCTTCTTGAGATTTCCAAACTCATCATACATCTCACCATCATCCTGAGATAGGATCATAGTAACTGTCAAATTAGTATGTTACATGCATTGAACTTCAAGCAAGGATAAAACAAGTATATTTTACCTCTTCAGCCTCCCTTCGACGTCGCCTAGTTTCCTCTATCTCTTCTTCATCAAGTTCTTTATAACCACCACCACGTCCTCCTCTGTTAAGCCGAAGTTTTAAGCAAAGTGAACAATAAAACTACTTGATCATATGGAATACTTGACCAATCACAACAGATGGAATATCAAGAACATTTTCATGAAAATTACTAAGATTGACAACTAAGATTAAGAGATGTCCAATAATGATCACCATACCTCACACCACCCTCATTGTGACCAGGTTTATTGGTGTTGCAGATATTGCACTTGGTACGCTTTGCCCAATTGATGTTGCCACACCTGTAAGAGAAGCAGTCCAAGAAGTAACATGAATAATACTAAGCTAGAGATTTTTTTTCATTTGATTGTGCTTCTCAGACACAGCAGTTAAAAGTGCGTTTCTCTCAAGTAATCACCCAATTATATTAACTTAATTGTGAAATATTTATTCAGTTATTTTACTGCAATGAAGGACTTAGTTAAAAGGTGTAAGATAGTATCTAACCCTTACCAAGCATAACTTATGTTTGGTCACCATTAAATAATCAAATTACACTCCGAGCCAAATCAACCATAATCTTGACTTTTAACACATGTCATCAAAGAATTCAATACAATATGCTGGAGAAAAAAGAGGGGGAAGAAACATGGCATATATGCCTCATAGGAAGCATAAATCAACAACATCACAAAAGCTTGATGTCTTATTCCCCCGTTCTAAAAAGGTTTTAACTTATCAAGTCAAAACAAGTCTTATTGGCTAAATAGATCATAAGATACGAGATGAATCAAAGATAAACCACAACTATGAATGATAGAAGATGAGAAAACATCATGACGGGACTAGAGAGAAAGAGACAAATATGAACAGTAATAAATAGTTCCATTGAAGGACTAGAAGAAAATAATAAACTTGAGCATCAGAAGTCTTACATAGGACAAGGCCAATCATTGGGACCAAAAAGTCCACTAGAAGCACCAACTGCCCGGCTAGGATTCTGGGCGTCAGGGGCACCACGACCCCTCCCACGGCCACCAGCCCCTCCACCACTGCCAGATGCGCCAGTAGGTCGGGGAGTTCCACAACGGTTACAGACGCCACGAAAGGCAAAGTTGACATTGGAACAACTGAAAACAAAAGGGAAAGAAAGCAAAAGGCATGAATAAGTATCTAACTGCAATCATAGCATAAAAAAAATTAAAACAATGTCATAAAAGAGCAAGAAGAAGCCGCTCACCAATATCACATCACAGACCTTGTATTCGAACATAACCAGTCTCCTTCCTGCTGCCATGCTTTCCCTGAAGCATCTCCCCGGCCTCTACCTCTTCCAGCAGCTCCATTAACATCCCCAGAATTTTCCTCCAATCCGCCTAAATCTCCAGTAACATTTGGATCTCCCGCTGCATAACTGCTCTTGGACTCTGCTATAGCAACTTCAATTGTACTACCATGAAAGTCCTTGTTGTTAAACCAGTCAACTGCAGCCGAAGCAGCATGTGGGTCCTCATACGTAACCGTAGCATCTCCCTTTGGTTCATTTGTTTCTTTATCTCGATATAGCCATATCTTTGGCCGACCAGTTCGCTTATCTTTCTACAAAGAAAAGAGCATAAGAACAGACACAGTTAAAGCAAATAAAGGAACCTGTGACCTTCAAAACAAACAGACAGATGTACATAAAACAAAAACCACACAAGAAGTTCAGTTACATAAGCATAAAAGAGTCTCCCCACCTTTAGCAACCCAATGGTTCCAAAATATTCGGCCATCATAGTTTCATCTGTTCCAGGAGGCAGATTAGAAACATATATAGTACCATTTGAAGGGGCTCCCCTACCTGAATGGCTTGCCATCGATCTCCAATTTCATCAAAACACAACGAACAGAACTAGCTACGAGCTCTAGAATAAGACACAATAATATGCTTAGCTGGATGCAATGCTGGTGAAAGGAATCGAAATAGAGAAACAAAAGCCAGCCAACTCCTATTCAAGTATTCCAGAATCCAATAAGCCAACTACTCCAATCATTTCAAAGAATAATGAATATTAAACAGACAACTTTTCCTTTTTCTTAAGACAGAAAAGTAACTGGCAGCAGTAACATAAATGAGTGACAAACAACTAAAAGACAATGACATAAAGGCAGGCCAAAACCCAAGTTCTGAAAGATAACCCAATTTTCTAAACTCCTTACGGTGCAGTCAGATACAGAATCATGTCTATGCAGAGCAGAATGCCATTGATAAACAACAAGGTATACCTTCTTGGACTAATACAGAGAAAGACGCCCATAATGAAATTAGGGTTTATCGTGGTTACAGACACCTTATTAATAAGAAGGCTCAACTACAAACACTGAAACCTTATACCCAAAAAACAAAGAAAAGATGCATATAAACTATAATTCGAAATAAAAATGGTAAAATCCATAGAGTAGAGACACCAGTGAACAGAAAATTTCTTGGGGAAAGGGATTGCGAGCTGGAAAGAGGGGGGAAAGGGGGCAAATCGAAATAAAAAGGATGAAAATTGAAAAGAAGGCAGAAACCTAGTCTCGACGGTTTTCAGTCACCGGAGATATGCAATGAAGGTCGTGATTTAGTTGCAGACGGCGGCGTCGTCGACCGCGTGCGCCAAGGAGTGAACAAAGACCGCCTCGTTTTTGGTCTCTAACCCTCCGCTCTCCGGTGTCAAGAGAGAAAAATGGGTGGGCTTTATTGTCATTTAAGTGTAGATATGATTCATTTGTCTTTGTCTTTTAAAAGTGGAATAACTACCACTTTGGCCCTCCAGGTTATTTTCTTTTCACGTTTTAACCCACGAGCTTTCCCTTTTTATTTGGGCCATCACGAACTTTACCAATTTTGTTGGTAAAAAAAAAAAAAACTCTTGCAAACTTGTTTATGATCACTTAAGACTTGTTAATTTTTTTTTATTAAATCTTGGGTTACACAATGTAAGAAAATTTTCTCACATCTTTTAACATAATATATTTACATATCATGTAAATCAAATTTGAAATTTTTTATTTGTATTGAAAGAAAATTATTATAGAATTATTTAAATTATTGGTTAAGACTTGTTTAAAGCTGAAAGTTAATTTCAAGAAGCAAGTGATTTACTTGAATATGTAATCATTTGTGAGGTTGTTAGCTTTTATGTTTTGTTGATTTCTCAATTAAATATAAATTATGATATTGACAATAAATATGAAAATAACTCAACTTTATAGATTTTTAAATTTTGAAAAAATTGTTTCAATTGAGACCACATCACCTTTCACATTAGTGAATCACATTTGTCACATGCATTTCGACATTTAATTTCAAACCTTAACAATTTCTATTGATCAAGGGCCTTAATAATTTTTTTGATAGTGCAAGGATCAAAATAGCTATAACCAATTTTTCAAGGTTAATACATAAAATAAACTATGTTGAGGGATAAATTGCCACTGTCTTATTATTATTATTATTATTATTTTAAATTCCTCACACAATTGAAACTTAAAATCTTTAATTTTAAAACTTAAAAGTTTAATTATTAAATCATCTTATTAATTTATTATTATTATTTAACTTTTAAAACTGGACTGTAGTCAAACCCATCTAATTTTCTTAGTTGGGAAAAAGATTGTTCTCCCCAAAATTTTCTCATCGTCTCAAAGAAGTAAATTCCATTTTTTTTATGGGTACAGAAGAAGTAAAAAAATTATTATTTTGTCCCCTAACTTTTTAATCATTCTCTCATTTTGGCTCTGGGAATTGGAGCAAGGATTGTTGAGTATGAGAATTCCGAACTCTGCATTAGTCTGTCACATCTTCAAACTATGTATAATTTCATTTTCATTTTTCTTTTCTTTTTTCATTTTTTTTTCTTTTACTTTTGTTTTGAAACAAGGAGCCTGTAAACTTCTTTATACTTGAACTTTTATTGAACATCTTGGGACTCTATTGTTCCTTTTTCTGATTTCCTTCCAGAGTTGTTATACAGTTAAATTAGTTCTTTTGTTCTTGAAGATGCCACAATAAACATATGTTTCAAGTTCTTTCATTTTGTTTTACATTTACATTATGCATTGATGGTGCTGAAAAGTGAAAACCTTTGATTCCCATAATCTCAGCAACAAAGATGTGATAATTATTCTCTCATTAAGTGGGATTGATAAAGAACTTGTTAGAGTTAGACGTCTATAAGACCAAAATTTTCAAGATGAGCATCCTAGATAATTCGTTCGTTGATGTAAATAACTCACCACAAATTTATTTAAGAACAAAATTTCCTACTTAATTAACAATAATTGTGGTCTCATGAATTGGCATGTCGATTCCCATTTAGATATTTGGGATTAATCCAAATTTGGTACACATTGTGATAACATATGCAGCTTATTAATTGAGCTGGATCTTTGGTCTGTATTTTCTTGCTACCTTATTGCCTGCGTATTCTCTCTTTGTGAAGAAACCCACATATAAAAAAACATATAAGTTAATATTAATTTTAATATTAGCATTAAAAAAATAAATTTAATTAATAAATTGATAAATAAAAAATTAATTTTTTATTTTTAATATAAATTTATAATAAAAATAATATATTTATTATACCTTTCATCTAAACCGCATATTAAAAACCCTTTTTTCTTATTTTTCAACCCAAAAATCTTCAACTCCAAAACAATATTACTAAAGTTTTAATGCGTGACTCGTGTAATTATTGTATAAGTATTTCACCCGCACTACCAAACTTTAAACCCCTTGTTCCTCTTTCCCCCCTTCTCTTCCCCCAATTCCCATAGTTCAAAAAAAAAAAAGAAAAAGAAAAGTAATATCATTAATACTAAATACGTATTACAAAAAAATGTAGAAAGGATGAGGAATAGTTGCAGATGTTTGAACAGATTTTCAAAGCATCTTCGTTCTTTCTCTTAGAGAGAGATTCGAGTAAAAGAATAACAACCGATCACAAGTTTAATACAAGAAAGTACCCAGAAACCTAACAAGTGCAGCAGAAGAGCACCGCAGGTCACCATTATCAAATCCAGCCTCAGTTAAACCAAATTCGCCTGATGGTATCTAAAATCAATCGTCCCAGAAAACCAAAATTCGTTTGCAAACTCGCACTGCCTTCTATCTACCTAAAACCCTCAAAATTCACGCAACTTGAACATCAAAGCGGGGATAGCTCAGTTGGGAGAGCGTCAGACTGAAGATCTGAAGGTCGCGTGTTCGATCCACGCTCACCGCACATCCTTTTTTTCCCCCCAAGAAAGTGAAAGTTAGATGGAAAATTTTTTCTGAAAAGTAGATGGAATTGAATAGAGATGGAAAATTGTGGCTTTCCACAATCAGCATGAATACTACGGAAATTCAGAAAAACAAGAATAGAGAGTGAAAGAAAGGAAAGGAGAAGCAAGGAAGGAGTTTAATTACCTCAACAGTTCTCCAAGGACAGCCATGGATGAAATTGAATGTGAGCTCAACTGACAGCCTGCGCAATATACATATGCTTCCGAAAGTTACTGTGTTCTAGGCCAGAGTGGCTCCCGCCCCCACCCTATTTTGAATACTTCAAAATTTAAATTCAGTACGCGCCTGCCTCCTTCGTCACCATCAGCATTCATTTCAGCGCTGCTTCTTAATGGTTCACGTGAAAGTTCCAACCACCATTAAGTATCAGCCAATATATATATGGGTAATGATTTGCAGGACGAAAATGAGGGGCGAAAATAGGAGCCGACAAGTGAAATTGGTTAACGACAAGTGAAGTTGGTTAAATGGGTAATTTTGTAATTTAACCAACTTCACTTGTCGGCTCCCATTTTCGCCCCTCACTTTCGTCCCGCAAACCATTATCCTATATTATATATATATAATAACTTGTTTGGGTAAAGTATAAGTTAATGGTGTAATTATTATATTTTTTAATTTTAATTATTATTAAAAAATATAAAAATTATTATTGATTTTATTATTAATATCACGTGAATCATTTTAATTAAATAATTATTTAAATGTAAATTATTTTTTTTAATAATAATTAAAAAATATATATAATAATTATACTCTTAATATGTATTTTAAAAACATAGATTAAAAAAATCATAAAAGAAAAGGTTATCAAAAAAGTGTTTTTGTAATTCAGACGATTTTGAATATAAAATATTAATTATATGATGAAAGAGATTTTTTTGATATTAAAAATCCTTCATTAAAAAAAAATCAAATTAAAAATCCTTCTTTTATCAAATAGTTTTTGTTTTATAATTTAAAATTATTTAAAATTTAAAATAAAACATTTAAGAAATAAATTATTCTATTGTTGTAATTTTTTATTACCAATAAGTTAATAGATTGTAAACTACACCATTAGATGATGAAAACCTCATCTATTTGATGAGAGACCATCAAATTATAACAAACCACCCTTAAGAGAATGATACTTTGTTACATTTTTATCGGGAGGTACTTTATGGTCTAAAATGCAAAATACCAAATTCTCTTTTTTTTTTTTTATGACAATAATATTTATCTATCTTACCTCTTAAAAATTAAGAAAAATATTATTTCAAAATTATATTATTTTAATAAACACTTATTAAAAAAATTTAAAATATCTTATTTTTAAAACATGAATTAAAATATATTTTTTTCTCTTAATTTTTTAAAAATAAGATGAATAAACACTACCTCCTTATTTTATTTTATTTTATTTTTTTCATATATTTTGTTACTAAAAGTTAAAAATCTTATATTCAAAATTTGAAACAAATAAAACAAGATTGAAGAAAATCGACGGTTGACCTTTCCCCCCCACCCTATTTTTCCTTCTTTTTGTTGAGTATTGTGATGGATTTGGCATCTAATAAACACATCAACCAAAATATGACAGCATTCACAGTATACACTTTTTTCGTTTGGAATTTTCCCTTTCACAGGAAAAGCAAGGTAAAATAGCAGAATTGAAGAAAGCCCTAACTGACAACAGTTTTTCATATGAAACAAAGAATTCAGTAAATACCACAGAAGCCCATGGTTTCCTTCCTCACAAGCTACCTACGTTCATGAGTTCTCCGTGACCCGGATGAAACTCTTGCAGCATCACCAGAACTTCTACCTTTTCCATCTGTGTTCTTCTCTTCTTTTTGATCTGCTGACTTCTGCTTCCGCAGTATCTCCTCTGCATATCGACGCCACAAAGCCTCTCTCTCTTTTCTTGGCATCTTGTTGTATCTAGGATCAGACTTTAGATGACGCTTTGCTGTTGACCATGAATTGAGGACAGTTTTCCCGTCTTCTGTCTCCTGAGAAGCTGCTTCTGCAGTTATGACTTCAGCCAACAAAGCTTTGAAATCTTGTGTGCATCGCTAAAACGACCAAATAAAAGAATTATGTCAAAGAATTAACACTTCCACAGCCAAATGAATCAAATTCGATTCCAATTAATTTCATTTTTTCAATAGGGACAGGGAACATTTAAGAGGAATCTGCTTTAACTTCCCTTTCATTAATCAAGATTCAAGATTAATAACTTCCCTTTTGTAAGCGTGAGAATCCTAGGAAATGCAGTGCCTCGAGAGAAATAATAAAAAACATGATACTTCTTGAGTAGCTTGGGTTTACCAAGGGAAGTGTTCCTTAGCAGTAATTAAAATTCAGGTTAGCAGTATTGCAGCATGGCTAAAGTAATCATTCAACAGGCAGATGGAAGAATAATATCATTAATCAGCAGCTCCAGAATTACCTCTAGTAGCATCTTTACGTGTTCACGGAATAGTTTCTCTGTATCAGACGGATCTAAATCATGGTTGGTTGCACGTTCCTGAGGATCCTTCTCCAATTTAGGCTTTGATTCTGTCCAAGATGCCTAGACAGATCAATAAAACCAAAAAGTGAACAAATTGATCGCCAGCAGCAGATCTAGAACCATATTCAAATTCAGAAGACCAGTGAAACAAATCAACCAAGGAGACTTTGGATACTCAAAACCAATAAATTTTAACTATATGTTGCGGATGCATGTGATTTAGAATAGGTAAAGTAAAATAAATGTGTCTCATCTATCAATTGCATCACAGAGCCTTGAATGCCAGCACGCTATACCTGATCAGACAAAGAAATCTTAGTTGAGTGAAAATGAATGTTGATGTCTATCCTAACACATGTTACAAATCTTTAAATGCAGCATCAAAACAGACTTTCATTATCTACAAGGGGATGCATTGCAATTTTGTTTTCTCTCATTTTAGGTACCATAAATGAGCCTCCGATGGAAAATAATTAATATAATTTATCTCTTCCATAATGAATTGACAAAAGCTGTCAGATAATATTGATGGATAGAATATTCTATTTGTTCAGTCCAATGCAATTCTAGCTATGTATCTTTTTAGCCAGAGCCATCTAGAATTACATTATTAGATATCAAAATGTTACCTGAGGATCCTTAATTGTTTCCACAAGCAAAGCTTGAAAAGATGCAACTGCCTCCTTCCTGCGAACTTTTTGTCGCACCCTTTCCATTTCCTGTTCCTCTCTCTCTTTCCTTTTCCGCATTTCTCGCTCCCTTTCTTTCAGCTTCTCCTGCAAATCAGTGGAACAAGACCAAAAACTTTAAACATTACATCCTGTATATAATTGTTTATATGTGTAAACTCAATCTCAGTCATTTCAAGTTGGTACTCCAAATAACAAACGAATTAATCCATATATTAGGAAAAGTATGCACAATATCATAGAAGTACATTGCATGAGTCCATCTTCTGGTCTTTTTTTTTTTTTTTCGACTTCCCTTTTCCTGTCTAGTTTATTTATCTCACTAATTCTAATTCTGTTGAGAGTCCAACTTACAATATGAACAACTTTAGATGGGAACAGTTACGTCTACCCTTCACTGCCCTAGTAACAACCATTAGGTCTTCAATATATATAAAGCATGAATGACTCAAATAACCCAATAACATATTAATCACAAAATATATCCAAGCTTTCTCTCTTGAACACCCATGCAACAATTCTACTCTAGGGTAACCTTTCAATGCTCATTTCTTTTCTTTTTTGTTTCGGTGATTGTTCAACAGATGTGCCAACTGCACCAAATGAACTACCAGCTAGCCATTTATCACGAGAAGCTGCATGTTCAACACAAATAATTGACCTGTACTATCTTTTCAAGTGTCAGCATAAGACACGGGAGGGAGTGCATACCTCCTCTTCCTTTTTTGCCTTTGCGTCCCGCACTGCTTCCTCTTCTTTGAATTTTAGCTCAGATATGTACTCATTGAACAAAATCTCCCTATCTTCATGATTAACCAATCTATACCTGGGATCATTCCTCAGACTATCCTTCACCTATGGTAATCCAAAAATGAAAGAAAAAGATAGAATGAATCTAAAAGAATCTCAGGTATAATATATCAGAATTCATGAAATAGAAGCACATTCCTTAACTTGCCACATGATTGCACCTACCCTTGACCAACGGGAATTAACATTTATATCTCCCTTTTCCTGAAGCATGGACTTGAAACTAGATGCTGCAGCAGCACGTTCTGCCCTAGCTTTTTCTTCAGCAGCCTTCTTTAGAGGAAGCACCCTGAGATAGAAGCAGAAACCTCTTCAACCAAATATAGTAAGGATGGCAACATTAATAGCATGAGGCATTTACCACTCAAACCAAAAGAGATCAAGGGCTAAAGAACACACCCAAATTGAATCTGAGATTCTGGTCCCTAGCATACTACTTGCTGAGATATGATGCTTTCAAGAGTAATCAATAGAAATCACTTCCACTGTCTAGGGACAACCGAACAAGTTCAACACAAATTCCAATAAGGATCTGGGTCAAGACAGATCATATACGAATGAAATTGCACAATTGAGTCTATTGCAGATGTTGCATAGACACCAACACCAGGCATGGATCAGAATATAAAAAATAAAAAATAAAAAATAAATAAAACAAAAAATGATGACTGCAGTATTTACTAAACAAAGAGAAGCCTTTGCTTTATCTCACTTCTTTTAATTGAAAAAGGACCAAACCTATTCTAATTAATCTTTCAAATAACTCAGCATGTTAACTTCTATTCCTCTTTGATGCATGTTAGCTTTGAACATTTTAGTTAAATAAGCTTTAACATTACTTTGCTCTAAAGGATTGTAACCCAAAAAACTGTTCTGTGCGGAGACTTCACAATAAATTCAGGTCTGCAATCAATGGAGGTGTGCGGATCAATAGTTGGAAGGGGGTCAAAATAAGGAAACACTACTGCCACAACCTTTTACCACATTAAACCTCACATTTAGAGCAAAAACCAAAATTGTGAAAAATGCCTCTATAGTTGTTGCTTAGGTACTTCCATTTCAAATAGCACCCAGGAAAAAATATCACAAGCAGATACCAAAATCAAAATTGTATCTGCAATCACAATAAATATACCTTTCATTCAATAGGTGCTCCCGATCCTTACGGTCCAAAGCCTCAAACCGGGGATCATTTCCCCATTTCTTTCTAAAAGTTTGATAATCTGTGTTATGGTCAATGTCCTGTAATAAAATAGGTAAGCCATCAATCTGCAGTCCAACAGCTTTAAAGCAGAATGGAGTGATCCATGTTAATAACTAAAAACAAAAGATGAAATCAATTTGACACAATTTGGCAAAACCTCTTTTGCTTCATCTAATAACTGTTTAAATCCCTCTATAGCAGCCTTCTGAGCTGCTCTTTTTTCCTTGCGCTCCTCTTCAGCACGTGTCTTAACATAGTGTTCAAACAAGGACCTCCTTGCAGAATGACTGGGAATAGCCTGCAAAAGGATATAGCCTAGCATTATAATTGCAACACAAACTAATGAGTTACTACTGTATGATCAGCAGATGCAATCACCATTTCTCATAGGGACACAATATGCAAAAAGAGGAAAAATTTCCTATAGGAGCATAAAAGGTTGAATGAATGTAAACAAACTGAAGTACTGATCAAAATTTAAAAAAGAAAAAAAAAATGTACTCATTAGCACTATCTTTGGAAGTTCTTTCTCGTTAGCACCTAAGTCTCAACAAACCTTAAAACGTGGATCAAACACTATCTTTGGAAGTTCTTTCTCCCATTTCGAGAATGGTGCCACTCCCCGTTCCTTGAGCATTTCCTGCAAGTTTCATTAGCACAGCAAACATATGAATTCTAGGAATGGATTAATGAAGAAAGCCACGGAAGTTGATAACGTGTAACCAAAATGTCTAGTGATCATCACACAAAGAGGGTTAATTTAATAGATGATAAGCACATAAGATAGTTCTACTAGGAGAGAGAGAGAAAGAAAGAGAGAGATCTGTGGACTGGAGACCAAATTTTACTGATAAGGTAGTTGTATTTGGAGAATTTCTTAAAAAGAATAAACCAAAAGCAATACCTTAAATTGAATTATGCATTCCTCCTTTGTTGGCCCACTATCTCCCTCCTCGGAATCTGAAGATGAATCAGACATGTTACCATCTCCATTAGCATCTTGTGCTTTATCTTTTCCATTCTCACTTTGCAAGCCCTTAGCTTCAACTGCATTTGATCCATTTAATTCTGTTGTAGTGGTTGCTGGTGAAACTGGAGTAGGTGAGGAATTAACAGGAACTCCAGAATCTTGCAACTTCTTCTTGATTAAATCCAATGCAGATGAGGATCCTGGCACAGCTGAGGTTCTTATAGACATGGCATCCCGACCACCGGTACTAATGGCAGGAGCATTCAAAATTATGGGGGCAGTTACTTTTTCAGCCACTATATCAGTATTTGACACTGACATTGAATGCTCCTTTGATGAATCACTATCCTGCTTCTTTTTCAACTCAGTCACTTCACAAGGAATCTGCCAACTGCTAATCTGGTTGAATGAAGGCAAATCAAGAAAGAAGAATTATAAACTACACTGCTTACAGTTGGCACATCGCAAAGAATTCAAGGAAACAAACCATAACAAGTAAAAGAAAAAAAGAAGATAATCAAACAAATAAGAGAGAAGACCTTGGTTTTGTTGTTGTAGTAGTATTTCTTGCCATCATTAGTTGCAATCAATGCCCAGTCTGTACCAGCTATGTGCTCCCTATAGAAATAAAAATTTTAATGGTAAATAACTGCTGCATACCTATGAGATCTGGTAATAAATCTAACAACCAATTAACAAAATCTAACCGTTAGTTTATTGTTAACTCTATTAGTTGAATATTGACTAATTATTAATTAAAAAAAAAAAAAAAAAAAAAAAAGAGAATACATATCTATTAAGTACACTGGAAACTGTTTATCACTGACAAACAAACCAAATGAGTTCAATGGATAAACTTTCATCCAAAGAAACTTCTACAGCACAAGTTACACAACAGTAGGGCTTCACAAGCAGTGCACTTAAGCCCATCAATTTATGCCCCACTAAAGTTATTAATGACATTTATCAGTTAATTGCTACATGCTTTTCTGAAGCCTATAAATAGCTTTGAATAATCTTTCAAAAAAATTGCCAGATTACAGACTTATCAATTTGGCAAGTTAACCTTTTGATTGCAATCATAATCTCTAGACTTGGAAGTTTAAGAAACAACACCAGATATTCACGATTCTCAGGTAACCATATATCATTCAAAGATTAAAATATGCAAGAAATACATAAAAACAGAAATGAAGTGACTGATATGTGTTAAATCTACTGCATCCATACAAAACAAGACTGGAGATGTACAATGATCTCTTGAAAGTAGAGAGCTTACATTGAAACAGGAGTTGGCTGCATGGTAACTTTGTCAGGCTGCAGATATGTTAAAAACACGAGTTAAAATCAATCTGGAATGGAATTCACTGCATCTTTGGGCTTCAAAATGAAAGCAAATTAATCTGGAATGGCATCAATAGAATTTATTCTGACTCCAAGTGGCAGGATGTAGGGGCACTCAAATTCAAAATACAATGAAACAGTATCTATGAGACCATCTGCAGCCACATACATAATTCTCAAATAATATCTAACTACTGAAAGTGTTAACTCAAAGATAAAACATCTTGCCTGCCCTAGTTTTTAATCATGATACCAACCAACATAGCCAACCTTTTATTGCAAAAGTGTTGTAAAAACTAATGCTTGGGTAACTTCAAAGGCAAGGGCAATCTGGATCTGATTGTATTATCATTAAAATTATTATGTGATTTCAATTTTACAAATGTAAAACAGCTAACCTGGTTAAAATAACAACAAAGCTGCATTTAAGCACATATCTATAACTGCACATACCTCCCCCTTGAATCCAACAGGTTTTTCATAAGTGGATTCTCCGGTTAATGCATTATAGTAGTAGACAATTCCTGTGTCGGTCTTGTGGGCAGTCCAGACATCTGACTGTTCATTTGCAGCAGCTTCAACCTTGGTGCCATCATCATTGACTAATTTACTGTCACCTGCAAACCCCCCATGTAACATTCATGAAGAAAAAATTTACCCCATGTTACATAAATGAAGGTTAAACAGCTCTTACATTGTTAGTTTGATTAGTAATCTAGCATGAAACCCTGAGCATACCAATTCCTAGAGAAGGCAATTCACTCTGAAATTCTGAAGTGGCTGACAACTGATTTGCCGAAGTAGCTGACAACTGATTTGCCGAAGTAGCAGAAGATGCAGAAACAACACCTGGCATTCCCATCGAACTTATCCCAGGAGGTTGAGAATCAGGTGATGGTGCATGTGCCATACCATGTGCTGGAGAAGGGAAGGGTCCAGTATAAACAGCAGAATATGTAAAAAATGGTGGCCTAATGCCACCCATTGCAGGAGGCTGCATCCAAAATCCCTGATGGGATGCAGCCACAGTAGGTAAGGATGGATAGGCAGGGTATGTTTGTTGCTGGATAGCTGGATTAGATTGAACAGGAGTTGTTGGCATATTGGGTCTCAAAACAGCAGAAGAGTGAGAATCCATAACCAAAGATGTGGATATCAAAGGCCCAGGTGGCACTAATCCAGGTGGGCCAGGTAACCCTGAAACTCCAGAAGACCCTGTAGGCATGGAAAAGGATGGGGTAGTGGACATCCTCGAAGTTGTTGGCCCAAAGTTATGGACAGGAAATGGACCAGGCTGAGAGACAGTTGATGTAGATGATGGGGTACTAGCTTGCATAACAGCAACTGATGTGTCCTGCAATTGGTGAAAAGCTTCAAACAATAAGATCTTGGGATACAAAAGATTAAGTCCACCGAGTTATAGTTCCATTGATTTACAAGCTGTGATTGGTCATCACTCATAATTCCATGTACAAAAGTAGTCAAAACATCACCTATTCATCTTCCATAATCAAATAGTGAGAAATAGTCATGAATACATTCAAGACTCTTTGATTCAGGATTCAATCTCAAAAGTGGGGATGAAGAGGATTTGATTTTGTGTTGTAATAAGATAAAATAATAATAATAATAATAATAATAATAATAATAATAATTAAAGAGTCCATACTTGAATTGAAATACTGCTGCAATACAAACAATAGTTGAAATACTGCAGAGAGAACCTTGAGACAAAAATGGAAAAGCTAGCAAGCAAGCAATTAACAGTTCCAATTTCTAAAAAATCAGATACACCACAAGAAGTGTTTAGAACATATCTAAGAATCCAGAAACTTTTAGCTGGTATGCAAATGGATCCATCAAATAGCTAACTGATAAAAGTTGACTCAGGGATTAAACCTACCCTGGTTGACTGCATTTGCTGGTTACCAGAAAAACCACCAGTTTGCACGACATTATATGAAAATGAAGAATCAGAAGATGAAACCAAGCCAGGAACTTGGGGTTGAAATGGTGGTCTGTTTGAATTATTAACCTACATTGGAGAAAACAACTTATCATATAAAACCACATTTGATCCATACGCAAACAAGGAAAAACCATAAATCAATAATAAGAGATGAGGGTGTTAATTGCTGAGAGCCTCCAGAAGCACTGTGATTAGGAAGTACCCCGTAAGAGAACGAAGATGCAGGAACCACATAGGTAGGTGCATTTACAAATTTTGCCTGGGCAGGTTCTTTAACATGTTCACTTGTCGCACCACCTAAATCCTCCAATATAGGTGTGCCTCCACTTGGAGCAGAAGAAGTATTTGGAGTAGGATCAATCCCAGAAGATTCTTCCATAGGCACACAAGATACGGGTGTTTGCAAGGAAGATGCTTGTATATCCTGTAGCAGCCTAGCTGGTGATGCCATTTATTGACCTTCAAAATATTAAGTGATAACGTAACATAAGAAACCGAATATACTAGGTACAAAAAAAAAAAAAAAAATTGTCAGTGTAAACAAATTTAATACTACATTTAGATATTAGAGGAGTAACGGGAATCAAAGCCGCAGACTTTATTTTGTATTTGGTATATTCCGACTAAGTACATGTCACATAAGCAGCCAAGCGCTCAAGTTCAACAACAGCTTGCAGCAAGGATAATTACAATTCAAGGTCAAAACCTGATTGAACCAGCACCAATAACAATATGTGAACTTCTAAAACTAAAGTAGTATTTAAAAAAAGCTAAAAATATATTACTTTCACAAGGTAAGAGGAGGAATGGCCAAGCCAAACCCTAGCTCTCTCATCCACCTTCACAAGAAGTTTAAAACAAAACGATCCTCATATCACAAACACTATTATATAATTACCATTATCGCGAAGATTAGGAAGGAAAACTTAATCTTTTTTGCCAGAGGCTTAAGGTCCAGCTCGGGGAATGACCGCATAGAGAAGAAATGATTAACCAGTTAGGAAAGGTTTCGAGGAAAGTAATCTCCTTGGAAACAAACAGAGAAACAGGAGCAAAAAAGAGAACGGTACCTGATAGTAGAGAGCAACGACGGCGGCGGCGGCAGCGGTGGTGGTGGTGAAAGAATCGTTAACGTCCTCCGGCGGACCGGCGCGTTCTCAGCTTCTAAGCCGTTGAGCCAGGAAGCAAGAAGTGGGAATCAGTAAGGATTAGGGATCCCGACTGGACCCGTAATATTTTGCGCCATAATCAGGTCCTAAAACCGGGATCCATAACCAGGCCCAAATCTAAAAATCTGGAAATTGGAATTAAAAAGGCCCTAAAAACCCGGATCCAAAACCTGGCCCATATAGGCCCAAATAAAAAAGAAAAAAAAAAAGAAGTAAAAAAGTGCGCCTTGGTATGCTCCGACCCATGTGCAAATCGTTCCAAAAGACAAAAGGTTAAACCTCCAATTTGTCCCTCAACTATTATACAAATCCTTAAACTAAAAAATATCTAATTTAATTCTTAAAGTTTTTAAATTTCACTCTAAATTGGTTCCTTTATTAAAAAATTATTAATGTATCTCGTTACTTGTCTAACATAATGCATGATCATCAAGTAACAACTTTGTATTATTTTTTTTTATTTTGATTACATAATAAAAGACAATCATTTCTCATTTCTTATCTCATTTGATTTGTATACTATGCGATTAAAATTAAGGATTTTTTTATTTTCATTGAAAGGAAATAATCACTGAATTATTTAGGTCATTGACACAACTTTATACCATTTAATAAAGGATGCATAGGTTATTTTTTAACAAAAGGATCAATTTGGAATCAAATTTAAAAACATAAGAAATTAAATTAGAGATTGTTTTAATTTGAGGACCAATTTAAGAGTTTATGTAATAGTCGAGGGACCAAATTGAAGGTTTAACGAAAACAAACTTTTGCAATTTATCTGTAGGTACTTATTATTTCTGATTTTGAGGCCTTTATCCTGTCTCCACGAAATCGGAAAACGTGTGCTGCGTGGCCGACTTTCCCTCCACTTTTCTCCCACTTTCCTCTTCTTTCTTCTTCCCTCCGTCACAATTGCGCCACCATCTCAATCCCAACCGTGTGTTCTCACACTCCGGCAAACTCTTCTAAAACCATCTGCGTTCGTCGGGTCGTTGCTAATTTTCTGTTGCTTTGCTTCGATTTAAGTGATATAGTATAGCTTTGGCGATTCAGTGATTCATGGTTATCGGCAATCATGAGTTGTGTTATGCCCATGTTGAGGTTTGGGCACTGAAACTATCTCTACCTATAAATGGTTTTGCTATCTTCTTCTGCGAGTTTCACCTTGTCGCAGATTGGTTACCCTCTTTACCTCTGCCCATGTAGTAATCTGGCCGGAATCACTGCTCATAACTCTGGGAGGAGGAGGAGGAAGAAACCCATCACCTTCTCTTACCGGGGTTTCAGAAGGAGGTTTTGTTTTCTTGCTTGTTCGATTCGTTCGGATGCTTCGGACCGTAAATTGAGTGTAGAGTTTGTTAATTCTGCTAGACTTGGGGCGAAGAATTTTGTAGCAAAGGGATTTTCCAATGAGTTTGCGGATAGGGAAGAATTGTCCCAGGAACCTTCGATCCAAATGGGGTCGAATTTCACGAATTTTCAAGAAGACCCAATTGTGAACAAGTTGAGGACTCAGTTAGGAGTGATACACCCAATCCCTTCGCCTCCCATTAATCGAAACATAGCGGGGTTATTCGTGTTCTTCTTCTTTGTTGGAGTTGTTTTCGATAAGATATGGACCTCGAGAAAGAGGAGCACAATGAGCGGTGAAGATGTACTCCGAAAAGGAGGAGGGGCGTGGCCGCAAGTGCCCACTAGCTTTTCTTTGTTCTTGGAGAAGGATTTGCAGAGGAAAGAATCGGTGGAGTGGGTGAACATGGTGTTGGGGAAGTTATGGAAGGTGTACAGGGAAGGTTTAGAGAATTGGATTATTGGGCTATTGCAGCCTGTCATTGATGATCTGAAGAAGCCTGACTACGTACAGAGGGTTGAAATAAAGCAGTTTTCCCTGGGAGAGGAGCCTTTGTCTGTTAGGAATGTTGAGCGCAGAACTTCTCGACGTGTCAATGATTTGCAGTAAGTGATTTTGCAGAAATTCTGTGCTTGCTTTTATTTATAGATTGTTTTTATTGCTCAGTTTTGTTTTAATTATGCATGGACATTGTGATTCCTAGGGGCTAAGTAGAATCCATGAACAATGTAGCCAAATTATGTGTTCAAAAAGAGTTCTTGCCTTCTTGGCTTTTAACATTACTTCCATATTGTTTGGAGAGCCTGACTCAGTATGAGTTTTCTTTTGAACTCGAACTGGGTCAGAACAATAATGCTTTGCTTTCTATGTTATTTTTTCATTTCCTTTCCAGCTTGAGTGAATCTTATAAGCTAGAACCTCATTTCATATGAATTTAATATACTTAAGAAATTTTCATCTCTTTCAATATAGGTACCAAATAGGGCTTCGTTATACTGGTGGTGCACGCATGCTGTTGATGCTTTCACTAAAATTTGGCATCCTTCCTATTATGGTGCCAGTTGGTGTTCGAGATTTGGATATTGATGGAGAACTTTGGGTCAAATTGAGATTAATACCAACAGAACCCTGGGTTGGTGCTGTTTCATGGGCTTTTGTTTCACTTCCAAAGATAAAGTTTGAATTGTCACCATTTCGTTTATTTAATCTTATGGGTAAGTACTTGTTGATCTATGAAAAAGAAAGACTTAAATGATAACAATTGAGAACCGTAGGAGCTGGCTTAACCTAAAATCTGCACAAACCAATCTGAAGCACAATGTTGGTCTAAGATAAATTGTTCACTGAACTTTTCACTTTTGTTGAGACTCTATTCAATTTGCTTTCTTAAGATTATTGTTATCATTAGTATCTGTTTTATTATACCCTAAAATTTTTGTGGACACTGATTTGTGCCTTTGTCTCTTTTTATATGTGTGAACTGGGCAACACCAGCTATTCCTGTTCTCTCACAGTACGTTTGCTTTCCTCTTAGCTGATCTGATTAATGCATGCTGCTCATTTTTCTTGTAAATTCTCTTACATCATCCTTTAATTAGTTTGAAGATCAAAATCTACTTTTTTTATTGATTATGATGTGAAAGAGTTATATAGCAGTTTCATTTGCATAGGAACCAATTTCCCAGGGAACATGAGTTGGTTTTTGATACCAGCCATAATAGTTCTATGGATGAATTGTCAGGTTTTATTTTATATTTCAGAAGCCTGAGATTCTTCACAAGTCTAATATTATATCCAGTTTGTGTCATGGAGAGTAAAAGATTCCCATTCTTGTTCCTTTCTGCATGGTATCCTATGCCTTGGTTAATATTTTTCAATTCTTTAATTGTCCTGTTAAGGCATGAATCAAAGTTATTGGTTCAGTATATGGTAATGTAAATTAGTAGTTCTAATAGTTGTTCTCATTGCTGCTGTTGTTGCAGCAGCAGCAGTAAGGAAGAGAAAAAAAATGGGGGCATTTTCTCTACCTTCTTAATCTGATAAATTCAGTCCTTATCTCCTGTGCTAAACAACCCCTAAGAAACCTCTTCACTGACCCCGAGCACAACTACATCTTTCCAGGTTTTTGACAAAACTTTTAACGGAGGATTTGCCTCAGTTATTTGTACGTCCAAAGAAGATTGTTCTGGATTTCCAGAAAGGAAAAGCTGTTGGCCCTCTTGCAAATGATTTTGAATCAGGTGAAATACAAGAAGAGAAAAACAAAGATTATGTTGGAGAACTGTCAGTGACTCTTGTAGATGCTCGGAAACTATCATATCTTTTCTCTGGTAAGAATTGCTCTGCTTTATTGGGCTTGGCTTCCAAAGGGTAACCTTCCTCCCTCCAGCCCTGCAGACTGTAAAAAGCTTGTAATGAACTACTTGACTTCCATGAGTTTTTTTTTTCAATTAGTTTGTTTGAATCAATAGTTATCATGCTAATGTTAGCTTTGTGAGAAAAGTTCACATGTCAATAAATGGTAGTGGTTTGCTTCATTTTTCTTGTTATTGTGATATAGGCACTTCTTGGCACAACCGTTTTGTTAACCTCATATTTTTGACATTGACATAATGTTTAAAAAACTAAATTTCTTAACTCGTTTCTAAATATCTAGCATCTCAATATTTACATTAACTCTACTTGTTGTCAAATATTGGTGGGACTTGCTATGTTGGAAATGCAACACTGTTGGAAAAATGAAATATGTCCCTGTCCAATAACAACAGCTGAATAATGTCTTGTAATTTAAAAATATCATTTCTTCTATTCACCACTTCTATTTGGTTCTGTCTGGCCAGGTAAAACCGATCCCTTTGTTGTTCTAAGCTTAGGGGATCAAATTATACGCAGTAAAAAAAACAGTCAAACTACTGTTATTGGGCCACCTGGTGAGCCAATTTGGAATCAGGTATTGTTATGTGCCTCCCAGCATCCCTACTTTATCTCTTGAATCTCGTTATCTTCTCCTAAGCTGTAAATTTTGTTAATTCTTTGTGTTTTTGTCATTGCTGCCAGGATTTTCACATGCTTGTGGCAAACCCTAGAAAAGAAAAATTAAGCGTCCAAGTGAAGGACGTTCTTGGATTTGCAGATTTGACAATTGGTACTGGAGAGGTATAATTTGCTATCTGTTAAAAATCAATCAATTATGGTAGAAAGTATTCTGTTTCCCCTATTAACAGTATTTGGGGATGACATGGTAATGTAATCTTGCAGCCATTGCTGACTTGCTGTCAATAAGAGGGACATTGAAAAACCTCATTTCTTAAAACAAGAGTGTTTTAGTTGATGAATGGTCAATTATAAGAAATATAGGATGTCTGGGATTCTGGGTTGAACCCCACTGCATAAGTCTAAATTATCTGTTCATTTTGCTTGTGCTTGTACGTTTCTAATGCAAGGCCTTTTCACTTTTCAGGTTGATCTGGGGACTCTCAAAGACACTGTCCCTACAGACAGGGTAGTGGTCTTGGAAGGAGGTTGGGGATTGTTCAGAAAGAGATCTTATGGAGAGATACTACTTCGACTGACATACAAGGCATATGTTGAAGATGAAGAAGATGACACAACTAAGGCTGGATTGAGTGAGGCTGATGTTTCAGATGATGAATTGTCTGATTCCGATGAATCAGATGTCACATATGAGCAGGGTGTAATGGAATCTACAGAAGAAACAGATAGAGAGTCATTTATGAATGTTCTAGCAGCTCTGATTGTAAGTGAAGAATTTCAAGGCATAGTGTCATCTGAACCAGGCATTTCCAAACTTTCAGAAAGCATCTCAGGAACAGGGCCTTTGGCATCAAGGTCACGCAATGTTAATAATGAATCTGTACCCTCAAATTCTGATCAAAGCTCTGAAGTGCCTGGGGGTATGACATCCTAAAAACCTGTATCTAAGGCCAGTTTTTCAGTTGGATTGTTTTCCTGATCTTGTTAAATAACATGCCTTCTGCAGGATCAGGCTTACTATGGTTTGCCGCCATCACCAGTACATTAGTTCTAATTGCTCTCAGTATGACTGGCTCAAGCTTATTCAACCCTTGACACCATTAGCTAGAGTTTTTGTTAGACTTTAAAGCATCTCTACAATCAGGTAAATCCATAAAACCAGCTTGTGATATTATTACGGTTGCCTGGAATTTTTTCCTATTTTAAGGTAATACAAGACATACTAAAAGAATAACTGCATTTCTTATTGGCAGGTTTTGAATGCAAATTTCATAGCAGCTTAAGAATCGTATTCATTTTTGGGGTTTTCTTACTCCACATGCCATTATGTATATCCATAGTGATTAGCAGAGAAATGTTCTGTCAGCGGCAGGATTTTATTTTATAATTTTTCTGGCTTCATTTTATCCGAGCCATTATTACAACAATGTTTACCATGATCAAATAAAATTCGTCCAATTCTGCTTACTGGTTTACTTTCATTAGTATTCATCTGTTCTAACTCTCGGACTTTAATAAATATACAAATTGTATGTAAATGTTTAATGTCTTCAATTTTCTCTTTATTTGGGGATGCTCCAAGTAAGGGAGAACCTCCCAAATTCGACCCTCAATTAGGAGAGTTAAAACAAATTTACTCTTTAAAAATGTAAAGATAAATTTTTTTTTAAAATTATCAATTAATATAAATTATTTATTATTTTACATTTGACTTTATTATACGTCAAAATTTTGTTTACTACCTAAATATTTTTTAACAAAGTTGAGGTGTCATTATATCTCATTTTAATAGATAATTTTGTTTTAATTGATAATTTAAATAAGTAATTTATCTTTATATTCATTTAAATAATAAATTTGTTCCTACCTCTTATTCGAGAGACGAATTTAGGCAAATTTAAAGGTTTTGCTTCCAAGCCAATTTTATATGAATCTTGATTCAACATAGATGTCTTCTTTTTTACAGCAAAATTTCTTCGGGCGCAATGGATATATAGATTTTTAATGGCAACATAACAAATTTCATAACACGTAAAATCTTGTTGAACGGTCGGCTTGTCCAGTGTCATGGACCTGGATCAGGATAGTTCATTGA